CAACCACTAAGCTCTCCTTTATCGCGGCAGCCATTTAATAATGAAATTACTAGGGCACGTTTGTTTAAAAAAAAATAATTTTAATTTTTTTTTATATTTAATAATATAATAGAAAATTTATTAAAAAACATTTTTCAGTATTTGATTATATCATAGAAAATAAACTAAAAAATAATTTATTAATATTTTATTTTTTAAAGTTTATTAAAATAATAAAAATTAAATTTTACAAACTAAAAAGTTGAATGAAAATAAAATTAATAAATTATCTTAAATAAAATAAATAATAATCAAAATAATAAACATCAAATCTAAAAAATTAAAAATTAAAAAATAAATAAATTAAAATAATAATAGTTAACATTTTATGAATTATTTAAAAAAAATAAGTAATAATCAAAAAAATAATAAGAATTAAATTTGATAATAAAAAATTTCAATAAAAAATAATAATAAAAAAAATTATAAAAAAAAAATTAAAGTTAATATAAAAATAAATTTTAAAAATAAAATTAAAAAATAAATATTTAAAACAAAATATATATTGCAATGAAAAGTTTGATAATTAAATTTAATATAATTATTAAATAATATAATATTTTTAAATTTTTTATCATTTTTAAAAAGTGTTTTCAAACTGAATGTTTTAAGAAAATATTTTTTTAAAATCAAGTTATTTTTTTAATTGAAAAGTGTTTTCTATATAATTATCTTTTTTAATAATAAATAAATATAAAAAAATTAAAAAAATAATTTCATAAAAATCAATTTTTAAAAAACAAACCTGACTTAAAAATGTTCTTTTCAATTTACAGTGATGGTCACGTGGATGGGCACATGGTCATCTTTGCTCGCTGGCAAAAGAAGCAGCTTGTTATGTTTTGTTTTTCTACGGTTCGGTCGTTTCGCATAGATCGTTACGTGTTCTTGACGGAAGAATCGCGTTTCGGACAATTTCTTTTGTGCGGCTGAAACTGGCAAAAGCCGCAAAACCCTAAACCCTCACAGGCCACAGTGTTCTCTCATTATCTTCTCTTTTCTCTCCCCATTTAGCGTGAAAAACACTCTTCCTGCCTGCCTGCCAATCCTAAGCTAAGAAGTATAAGGATATATCAGCAGCCGTCAAACCCTAATTCCGATTCGGACCGGTAAAGTTCTCTCTCCCCTTCCAAATTGTTTTTGTTTCATTTTCTCTTCTTTTCATTTTTACACTAAGATTTCATGATTTTTTTCCTGGTTTTTTCTGTATGAAAATTTAAGCAGTGAAAAATCAATGATTGCTGTTGATTTATGGTTTTTTGTTGTAGTTTCTTGAATGATTATTTTTTGGGCTTTAGAAATCAATGGTTTGAAACGGTATTGAGTGCTGTTGAAAAATGTAAGAATATTTGTTTTTCTTCCTCGTTATTCATCCTTATTGTTATCGAAAATCAAGGAAAGTTCAATTCAATTTGACCTACGTTTAGACTTACATGCTACCTGGTGTCATTTCTAGATTATTAACCTGTAAATTGAACCTCGTTATGCCAATTCATTTGCATTTTATCACTCCATCTAGCATCCTTATTGTTATCGAAAATCAAGGAAACTTCAAGTCAATTTGACCTCCGTTTAGACTTACATGCTACCTGGTGTTATTTCCAGATTATTAACCTGTAAATTGAACCTGGTTATGCCAATTCATTTGCATTTCATCACTCCATCTAGATTTTCTTTCTTCTTTTTTTTTCTTTTGGAAGCACAATGAGTCCATAACTTGCATCGTTATCAATGTTTACAGGGGAAGTGCTAAATAGCAAAGAAGATTGTGGTAGGCTGCTTGAGTTGGGTAATCTGTTGAACCTTTTCCTTGATCTTGTAAAGCGAAAATTGAGTCGTTTACTTGGAAAATTCTTTCTTTCCAATTTAGTCTTTGCAAGTGCAGGCAAAGTAATGCAATCAGTTTGGACTCACCATGTTATTGAACACTGTGGTTATGTTTATAGTGCATGCCTTCTTCTTCTCCGTGTTTTGTGTTAAGAGGACTTTCTGTAAGTCAAATAAAAAAATGCATACCTAAACAAGGGAAACAAAGTGCCATAGCAGGTGTTCAAAGCAATTACCCTGCTGTAGAAACGGATGCATCTAACAATGTTTCTATGATAGATAACCTTTTTAATTCTCTCAAAGACCTTGCAAGGAAGGGACATTTATTAAAAGCATTTGAAACCTTCTCTCTGATCAAGCTCCATGCCTCTTCAGCTAATCGTGATGTTATCTTACATTCAATTTCTTCATTGCTTTACTCTTGTACCAACCTTAAATCACTCCCGCAGGGTAAACAGCTCCATGCCCACACCATCTCTTTGGGATTTGAAAATCATCTCGTTTTGCTTCCCAAGCTGGTCACATTTTACTCAAGCTTCAGTCTTCTAGCTGATGCGCACATCATCACTGTGAATTCAGATATCGTGAACCCTTTGCCTTGGAACTTGCTTATCTCTTCCTATGTTAACAATGGGTTACATGGAGAGGCTCTTTCAGCATATAGAGAAATGGTACATAAAGGGGTTAGACCTGATAATTTCACTTATCCATCAGTCCTTAAGGCTTGTGGTGAAAAATTGGATCTGGACTTTGGGAGGGAGGTACATGAGTCTATTACTGCTGCCTATGGGCACAGATGGAACCTGTACGTGCATAATTCTTTGGTTTCTATGTATGGAAAATTTGGGGAATTGGATGCTGCTCGTCGCTTATTCAATCAAATGCCAGAGAGAGATGCTGTTTCTTGGAATGGAATAATCAGTAATTATGCTTCCAGGGGCCTGTGGAAGGAAGCATTTGAACTGTTTGAAGAAATGAGACTAGCAGGCGCAGAAGTGAATATTATAACTTGGAACACCATAGCAGGAGGGTGCGTACAGACAAGAAATTTTAAAGGGGCACTTGAGTTGCTTTCTCAGATGAGAAGGTGTGGCATTGATTTGGATCCAGTGGCAATGATTATTGGCTTAGGTGCATGTTCACACATTGGGGCCATTAAGTTAGGAACAGTGATTCATGCTTCTGCAATTCGTAGTTGTTTCGATGGATTTGATAATGTAAGAAATGCACTGATAACCATGTATTCACGGTGTAAAGACCTCAGGCATGCTGACATTTTATTTAAATCAATTAAAACTAAGAGCTTAACTACTTGGAACTCCATGCTTTCTGGTTATACTCATATGGACCGATCTGAGGAAGCCTCGTTCCTGTTCAGGGAGATGCTGTTTTCTGGAATTGAACCTAATTATGTGACTATTGCAAGCATTCTTCCCCATTGTGCTCGAGTGGCAAATTTACAACAAGGGAAGGAGTTCCATTGTTACATTATGAGGCGAGAAGGGTTTGAGGACTATTTATTGCTTTGGAATTCCCTCGTTGAGATGTATGCAAGATCCGGAGAGGTTTTAGCGGCAAAAAGAGTGTTTGACTCATTGAGGAGGAGGGATGAAGTGACTTATACCTCCTTGATTGCTGGGTATGGTATACAGGGAGAGGGGAAGACTGCACTAAAATTGTTTGATGAAATGATCAAACATCAGATTAAACCAGACCAGGTCACCATGGTGGCGGTTCTATCTGCGTGTAGCCATTCTGGTCTAGTAACTGAAGGAAACGTGTTGTTTGAAAAGATGTCAACTCTCTATGGGATAGTTCCCGCAGTAGAGCACTTTTCATGCATGGTTGATCTCTTTGGGAGAGCTGGATTGTTAAATAAAGCAAAGAAAGTAATTACTAGTATGCCTTACAGGCCAACCACTGCTATGTGGGCCACTCTTGTAGGCGCCTGCCGGATCCATGGAAACACAGAGATAGGGGAATGGGCAGCTGAGAAATTGCTGGAAATGAAGCCTGAAAACCCAGGTTACTATGTGTTGATTGCTAATATGCATGCTGCTGCTGGTCGTTGGAGCAAGCTGGCTGAAGTCAGGACTTACATGAGAGATTTAGGTGTGAGGAAGGCCCCTGGATGTACCTGGGTTGATGTCGGCTCTGGATTCTCCCCCTTTGTGGTTGGTGACACTTCCAAACACAACTCAAATGATCTTTACGAATTGTTGGAGGGGTTGACTGATCTAATGAAAGATGCCGGTTATGTAGCCGGAGAAAATTTTAGTTCCGAAGATGAAGAATTGGAGGAGATAGAATGCTGCAACATGTGAATTTTAGTTCCTTGAATTGTGTTGTCCTTCGGACTTTTACTTGGAGAGAAAGTGCTCGATGCAACTTGCTGAGCGCATTGAATTGTGCAATTTTTACTCTGGATTTATATTATTTATAAAAAATTATAAATAAATAAACTGGTTCCACTTGTAGAATAGCAATTATAAACATGGAATTTACCAAGTTGAATATACATTTGACAAACAAAATCATAATGATTTGCTCTCGTCATTTAAACGAAAAGAAAATGATGGTATGGTTGCAGTGGATGATATCTTTCATCTATGCACAGGCTTTCATCACAGCTGGTCTGCTAATTGAGGAAATCGCTGCAGTAGCCAAGTTACACCCCTGATAGCAACCTGTTTCTCGAAAAACAGAAGCATCATCACAACCACAGAAAAGCAAATTCACTCCAGATATTCAAGTTAATGTAGCATAAACCTTTGAACCAGAGAAATGAAAATTCTCTTGTAGAATGAAAAATTTACACCCCTGAGAGCTGTGAGGATGTTTCTTTGTCAGAGGAATGAAAAATTCTCAAGGTAGAAATGTTAATCAAGGGTAGACAAAGACAATGTGTGTTTCTGTGTGTGTGAGAGAGAGAGAGAGGATATTGAAGCAGCTCTCAATAAATAGTCTAGTCAATATTGAGTTCATAATTTCATGACATGCTACACAAAAAATAAAAGGCCTGTCATTTTTCTCATCCTCGCTGGTTCACAGAAACTAAATGGCCTTGCATACATACCAAAGCTGCCTCCCCAGGCTTGACTGCAGGCTCAACACTGTCTCGTCCATAACTGTTTCAGAAAATGGTAAGTTTCCTCAACGAAAACATGCCTTCCCAAATAAATATTGCTTTCAAAATGTAAAAGTTCTGTGGCTTATGATCCAAATACTTCTTAAGATTGAAGATTGCTGTTGTTAAATAGCCTCGAAAAGTAGAAAGTGTGCTAGTGTTTTATATCAACAATGGTCCAGAGGAACACGTTGCAGGATCAAACAACTCCTTAAATTTAAAAGCAGGAATGCATCAGAATTCCATCTATCGCTGAAAACTGTAGAGCATGTTGATACTGCTCAAAGAAAGTCAATGAATTGAGCCAGTTTCAGTGACAAGAGAAAGTCACACAGACTCTAAGCTCAATTGCTGAGCTGGTTTGAGACCTGGGATAGATTCTGGAGACAGCCTTCTGTGCATAAAAACGTTGCTGACATATGGGGGATGTATCTGTATAAAACAAGTTCCATTTCTACAAGACTACAATGCATCATCAACCATTTAAGGATAAAGCTTCACTTACATTATTTGCCTCTTGCCATTCACAGCATCTAGCCGATAAAAGCTGCATCCTTTGCTAAATGGGAAAGACTTGCCCTTCCATTCTGTAATGATTAGCATTACAATTTATCCAGAGAAATCATGACAACCTTTGTAACCATTACTTAACATCCTAAGCAGGGAACATAAATCACTAAACAACATGGAAGGTAAAGAGTTGATGGAAGGTAAGGGGATGTTCGGTATCATTTCCATTTCATGTTTTCAGATTTTTGGTTTTAGTTTTCAGTTTTTTGAGAGCAGAAAACTTCTTTGGTTTAGAAGTTCTTATTAAAACAGACAATTCTCATATCTCATTTACAATTCTTGAAAACCAAAACAGAAATGATAGCAAACAGCCCTAAATAAATTCCATTGATGTACAAGGATAATGGAGTTAAAAATCCACACCCATTCTTTTAACTCCATACAAACGCCACTTTATTGTGTAAAAACACTTGTAAATGTACTACTGAACACAAAAGTCAATACTGAGAAATAAATTATTCTTCGGATTCTGTTTTTTCAACCTAGGTTTAAGTTAGTCCCCATACTTTTTGTAAAATCCTAAAGGTAAGCATATTAGGATAGAGAGAACCCAAAAGCGTTTAATAACAGGAGTCGTGTTTTCAAACATGATGAAGGACTAAATTGTGATCATGTTAAGAAATTAGGGATTAAAGAACATTTTACGCATACAAATAAAGAATTACGTTTTTGAAACATACCCAAATGCCATGTAACTCCGACCGCAAAGGAATCCTCGTTAGAGATATCATCAATAACAAACTGGAGGTCTTTGCTTACAGTATCAATGAACTTGTTGAAGAACTCCAGTATTGCCTGCACAAGGATTTTATGTCATCCTTTAATTACATTTTATTTTTTATAATTTCAATTAGGTAAAACTAATTCAAATTAAAGTTATTAAACTCCATCGGACTCATAATCTAGTTCAAAACTTAAATTCAATGTTGATTTGTATCAATAAAAAACAACATAATTTTATTTATAAAAATAAAATAAAACAACACCATTTAAAAAACAACATAATTTTATTTGTGTGTACCTTACGACCAACGAATGGACGAGGAAAGATAAGGTCCTCGTACACACAATTCTCGGCAATAAGCTCCTCCACGGAATCCAAATCGTGGCCGTTGATTCCTTCATAGAAGCTCCTCACGACATCTGATGCAGATTCCACGGATGGTGCAACGGTGACCGTTTGGTTTTCTGATGAGGAGGCTTTGATCGTGGTCTTTGTAGCCCATGCCTTGCTGCTAGAGGTGAAAATGTTAGCATGTTGAGTGGAGATTAGCTGGGGACGAGATAGAATGGGAATCCTGTGTAGGGGAAGAGGTTTGGAAGAAAAGAAAGATGATGCGGTGGAGCTCATCAGCATGGTTAGTGATGATTATTTGGTTTTGTTTGCGTCCAAATTTTAAGACTAATATATGTTCTAAATATTATGCTGCAGACATCAAGACGTCTAAAGCTTGGGCGGTGTTATGATGGTTTTTTATTAAAATATTTTAAAAAATATATATATAAAAATAATATTTTTAATTTAATATTAATTTAAAATTAAAAAAAAAATCAAATTCTTACAAAAATATTTTCTAACTATAAATCTTCCATTCTCATAAAAATAAATCTTTTATTTTTTAATTAATTCATTGAAAATAAAGTTATTTCCTAAGACATTCTAGAGAAGGATATAAACAAAATCATTATTTTTTTCTCTAACTTCTATATTTTTTTTTATCTTCATAAAAGCTCATTAATATCTTTATTAATATCTTTTTACCACGTAAAAATACCTCGTACTGATTTGATCTTCGAAGGGTCCTTTATCAATACCCGAAGGGTCTATAAAGGACATTATGCATGTATTTATCAAACAGGAAATTTATAATTTTTGAAGATTTGTCATTGAAGAAGAAGACATAACAATTTGAAAGTGAAGATTGTAGAACACGCTGTGATTGACATGCAAGGATCTTAAGAAATAATTGCTTCCAAAATATTCCTTGTGATTTTTATATAACCATTAGTTAGCGTCATTTGTCGGAACTCTTACAAAAAGCTAATTACTTCTCCAGTAAAAAAAATAAAGCTTTGATGATTATTCCATCTATTACACTAATATAGTAGATCCATACATACCAAGGCATATCGTAAACTCAGATTGAGAAGATGGTTGAGGAGATATATTTACTCTTTGAAGAAGTCATCAGATTGAGAGGACAACTCATTGTTCATCCTCAACTAGCTCGTGATATCCTACTACATAACTTACCACCTCAGCCATATAGGACCCCTATCGCCCAGAAACGCCTAAACTATATAGAGGGATATAGGTAGAATGAGGAGGAACCACCTAAACAGCATTCTCATAGTCTAGCTCAAGAATGTTCACATCGTCCTACAGTACCACTAAAAAGTGAACATTCTCTTAGAATCCATACTAGCCACCATGGAAGAGAAAGAAGTCATCACTCCTAATGTTCTATGTTAGATTCCTCTAGTTCATCTGACTTACACAGATAACAACCTAGAAAAAAGGCTGAGGAGAACTCACGACATCACCAACTTATCCACTAATATTAGGTGGAAGGTTCCTCTCTATCCAAGAGAGTCCTCAAAGCCAAGATTCCAAAGGAGTATCTATCTGTATAGATGAACTTAGATAACTATGTAACAGAAAGCCTTGAGTTGGTCATTCATGACAATGACGTCATGTGCAAAATAATACCCATTACATTCTAAGGGAATGTGAGGACGTGATACAACAACCTAGAAACAGGGTCTGTCATAAGCTTCCTTGACTTGTGTATGCTAAACTAGTTTCACATGTCAACACCAAAATTCCCATGAAAAAAAGCTTCACGAAGCTATTTAGAGTTACCCAAGATGAGAAGGAATCCACCTAAGCATATTTGAGGAGATTTAATGAAGAAATGCTTGAGGTGGAAGACTTGTTAGGAGCCTGTGAGGCTTCGATCAAGGAAATGCTTGAGGTGGAAGACTTGTTAGGACCCATAGCCTGTGAGGCTTCGATCAACGGGGTAGAAGTGAAGAGTTATGGAAACAAATCCTCTCATTATAAGATAGAACAGTTTTAAGGGTGAAACAAATGATTTAGAACCATATAAGAGTAGAGGAAGCCATATAGAGAAAGGGGTCAGAGTTGAGCACTCCAGCAAGAATTGTTACCTTATAGACAATATATTAAGAAGAAAAAAATTTTAGGGAACATCCTAGTAGGCCGAAAAGAGTTTACAATCTATAAACATCGGCTCTACAGTGGTCTACACGGCTTTGAAAGGTCATAACCTACTTTAGTATCCTCTTCATTTAAAACCCAATCCTAACCTCAAGTTCTCCAAGAAGTATTGTCAGTTCTATAAAGAGAAGGGACACAACACTAGGGGTTGTTATCCTCTCAAAAAAGAAATGGAGAGACTTCTAACACAAGGATACCTCAAACAATTCCTAAAAGAAGATCCACCTCAAGAAGGGGAGGGATGTGAAGTAAGACAATAAAGACTAACACTTCAAAAGGTCCTCATCATACTAAAAGGCTTATATACTATAATATCGGCGTCACTAGTAATAAGAGAACAAGGCTGAAAGATCAAGTTCTAATGACAATGGGTTGATAAAGTTCTTGGCATGTACCCATCACTTTCACCCCTAATGATGGATAAGGGATTAAACACCTATATGAAGATACCTTGGTGATTTTCATGGTCATATAGGGTTATAGGGTCTACAGGATCCTAGTGAATGATAGTAGCTTAGTGAATATCCTATCAGTGAAGGTCATGACAAAGATGGGCATAGAGGCCTCTAGAATGACTTTAGTGCCAACATCTCTCATTAGGATAAAAGGGTTAGTAGTGCTCGTATAGGGGCAATAGGGTCAACCGTCATAATAAGATTGCACTCCGTTATGTAATTCTCTAACAAACTTTTATAGTCATTGACACCCATCTCCCATACAATGCCATCATTGAGAGGCCATTGCTCTACCAAATTAGTGTAGTAGCTAACACAACGTATGTAACTATAAAGTTCCCAACTATTATAAGGGTAGCTATAATGGAGGGGAACTAGAAAGCCTAAAGAAATTTGACAAAATGGAGGGGAACTAGAAAGCCTAAAGAAAGTTGACAAACACATGTATAAAAAGCAATAAAACACTACTAATTGATTACCATGAAACCTAAGAAGAGAAGCTCGGGCACAAAAGAGAGGTAGCTGAAGAACTAATGGAAGTCTGTTTAGGCCCTATCGAGAAAAAGGTTACAAGAGTGGGTTGCACCCTAAACAATCAATAGAAAAAGGTATCGCAAAGAAGCAACTTTTCCTTCCATCCAGAGGATATGCTAGTGATCAGCCCTGAAATAGCTTCCTATCGGCTGAGTGTAGACCCTAGTTTTCCTCTAGTACAACAAAAGAAGAGAAGTATAAAGGGGGATAAATAGAAGGCCATCTTTGAGGAGGTAGACAAACTCATATTAGTAGGATTTATACAAGAGGTGACATAACCTAAGTGGCTCGCTAATGTTGTGATGGTAAAAAAAAGCCACATTAAATGGAGAATGTGTGTGGACTTCAAAGATTTGAACAAAGCTTACTTGACCCCCTCCTCAAAATAGATAAATCAATAATGGGATATGAGTTCCTCAGCTCATTGGATGCATACTCTAGGTACTATTAAATCCCATGTATCTAGCTAATAAAGAGAAAACATCCTTTATAACTGAAATAGGGACTTACTATTATAGGGCTATGCCTTTCGGTCTGAAAAATACAGGGGTTACATACTAAAATATGGTGGATAATGTGTTCAAACATCAATTGGGTAGTATTATGGAAGGATATATGGATGACATGTTGGTGAAAAGTATGACTTTTAAACAATATTTACAAGACCTCAAGAAAGTTTTCTAAGTACTAGAGAGCCACATTGTAAAGCTGAACCTCTTAAAGTACATGTTTGCAATCTGGTGGGGGAAGTTCTTGGGTTTTTTGGTTAGCAATAGAAGGTTGAACCCAACTAAAAAAAAATCCAGGTACTATTGAGCATGACTCCCTTTAAAATAGTGAAAAAGGTGCAACTACTCATAAAAAGGTTAACAGCTTTGAGCAGATTCATAGCTAGATTAAGGGAATGAAGTTTACCATTTTTTCAAAGTTCTATGGAACACCCGCAACTTCTAGTGGGCACTTGAGTGTTAAAAATATTTCGAAGAGCTAAAGGTTTACCTCTCCTCCCTTAATGTCATTTCTCAACCTAAAGAGAGAGAGAGACTTTGTTTTTATATTTAGGGGTGATAGATAGGGTTGTCAGTATAGTGCTGGTTAGAGAAGGAGTATAACATCTAATTTACTATAAAGGTAAGACACTGCTAGATGTAGAAACCCGCTAATTAAGAGTAGAAAAGATTGTCTTAACACTGGTGACAACTTCCAAGAAGTGGATGGTTTATTTCCAAACACAACAAGTGGTAGTATTGATAGACCAGCCTTTAAGATAGATCCTTCACAAACTGGATATATCAAGATGACTGGTGAAATAAGAAATAGTATTAAAAGAATATTGATTACAGTACAAACCAAGACTCGTAATTAAAGGGCAAGCCTTACCGATTTCTTAGCGGAATATAGATTTGAATAGGCTGTCAGAAAGGATCCTTCTCCTGATTCAAAGATGGTTGTTGTAACCTATTATTGCAAGAAAATTTGATTTTTGAGTTAATTTGGGCTTTTATTAGAAGAAATTAATGTTCTGGGGTCAAAATATAATTTTTTAGAGTTAATTTGGTCAAATCAGGGGCCTAATTGCATAAATATTGAAGTTTGATGGCCAATTAGGGACTTAATTGAAGAAATCCAAAACCAAGGATGAAATTGTAAACACGCCCAAATTGAAGTCCTGATTTTGAATCTGACGTGTTTTGGCGCCAATTCTCATTTGAATGAAACGGTGCGTTTTGGGAAAAATGACGTTGTTTTATGCACTGTTCATATAAAAAAAACAAAAGAAAAGAAAACCAGAAAACTCAAATTTGATTGCAAGAAAATTTGATTTTTGAGTAAATTTTTGCTTTTATTAGAAGAAATTAATGTTCTGGGGTCAAAATATAATTTTTTAGAGTTAATTTGGTCAAATCAGGGGCCTAATTGCATAAATATTGAAGTTTGATGGCCAATTAGGGACTTAATTGAAGAAATCCAAAACCAAGGATGAAATTGTAAAACACACCCAAATTGAAGGCCTGATTTTGAATCTGACGTGTTTTGGCACCAATTCTCATTTGAATGAAACGACACGTTTTGGAAAAAATGACGTCGTTTCATGCACTGTTCATATAAAAAAAACAAAAGAAAAGAAAACCAGAAAACTCAAAATGGTGCCGTTTTGAACGGCCCCATCATCTTCTTCCCCTGGACACGCAGAGAACAGGGGAAGGAAATG